AGCTTCTTTGAAGAATTATATATTTATATTCTTTAGTTCATTTTTAAAATCGGTTGTTAAAACAGAGTTGTAGAATTTCCTTATACATTTTGGATATTAGCATCTTGACAGTTGCCTTTTCATTCTGTTTCGTGTTTCCTTTTATGTGTACCAGTTAATTATTTTTGTAAATAAAGTTTTACTGAAACACAGCCATGTCTAATTTATTTAACTGTTGTTTATGGCTGCTTTCTTCACACAGTGGGGTAGTGCAACAGACTCCAATTGGTCAGTAAAGATTAAAATACTATTTTACTCTTTAAAAAGAAAAAGTGCCAGTATCTAGAACAGTTCAAAAGCCATGGCCTATGGCAGATGATACCCACCTAAGACATCATTTAATCATCATTCAGAGAGGGGAATTATTACCTCATTTGAAAGTGCACAGGCACTAAAGTTAAATGGATGCAAGCTTGCTATAAGCACACGGGTCTGTGTTTTGCTAAATTTTCTGGCTTCGGGTATTTTATTTATGTGTTCTGTCTGTCCTTTTCTCTGTATGTACACTGAAGCCAACAGAGGACTGGCCATCATAGAGAAAATGTCACAAGTCGATGTGAGCATTAGTGCATGCTTTGTAAATAGCAGACACTCAATATTCACTAGCTATATGAAAGGCAGTGTGGTCAGTATGCCTGGGAATTTTTCTTCCTAGAAATAATGTCCAATATTAAAATGCTAAGAATACTCCTTATATACTTGATCACGGGTTAATGTGAAGGGACCCCAAAACAATGTACACAACTGCTGTATGTTATATAAAGCACTTTCCCCCAACTCTCATGAAGCAAGGGGAAGGAAAGTATAAGTCTAAGTTTTCCAGAAACTGAGTAGCACACTAAAAATATTCAGCATATTATATACCTACTTATTACTATTCACAGAAACAAAGAATCAAATAATCAACCCTGAGTAACAGATGACCCCATGGTAAATTTCTTTTTTCCCCAGAAAACTATGAATTGCCTTTATTTCAGTATGCTTCTACATTTAAGCATTTAGTGGTCCTGCACAGAAAGTGGGAAAGCGCAGCAGGTGCCAGGAGGCCAGGCCCATCAGGCCTGGGTCCACTGCACACCGAGCTACTCCTCAGCCCCTGCTAAGCACTCAGAAGCAGCAGCACTAAAGCCAAAGTGGGCGACAGTGTAAACCTTCTTCAGCATCTCGAAGCGACGTGGTACCAGGAAAGGGAACCATCCAGAGGGACTGCGCATGCTTACAGTGTCCTCGTGTGGCCTTGCTCTGGGCCTGCCCAGCAGGGACAGGGCTCTGGCAGATTTCTGCTCATCAGTTGATGGTGACAGCAGGCGGCAGAGCCCAGGACCTGATACTCATTTCCCAGCTGGTGGAGAATGAATGAATGTGGTTCCAAAACTACATGAGGGCCGTCAGACTCTTTCCAACCCTACCTGATGGATTCTGGACAAAGGAAGGAGGGGTCGTGGAAAGCGCTGGGTGGTGACAGTGACAAGGGAGAGGAGGAAGAGAAGGAGGAGGAGGGAAAAGCAACACCCCTGATCAAGGTGGGGAAGAAATGGGGGAAAGCTCTGAATCCTCACCCAAGGCCAATTTCAGAGGGGGACGGAGGGTTACCATCTATGCTTTGGCCAAGGGTGGGAGTGAAGGAGGGTGGGTCAGGTCGATGGCTTGGAAGGAGGTGTCACTTAAGACTTAAAAAAGAAACCAGGGTGCAGGCACAGCACCCCTACACCCAGCAGTGGTCCCACAGGCTGCGACCTGAAACCTTCACATCTAATCAACCAGCCACCCCAGGCCAGAGCTCCAGGGGCGGAGGAGGCGGGGAGGAGGGATGGCAGAGCCCTGGGCCATGTCGCCACAGCAAGGTGACTGTGTGACGTGTCTTTGCACAGTTGTTAGATGTGCCCCAACAGTCCTGATGGGACTCCGTTTAAACAGACTTTCCCAGAAGTTCAACTACGTGGACAGTGGTTATACTTGACAGGGTGATTTGTTATAGCACAACTCATATATTTCAAATGGACAAAAATTAGTATCATTTATAGCATCTTAAATTAAACTGTCCTTGAATGGGAGCTTCCTTTCCAGTACTTTGAGGTCGAGGAGACGTAACTAGAAAATTCACTACTGTGGCAAACGAAGACTGCTGAAATGGAAGAGGGGGTGGGGTGGAGCGGAAGGGCCTGTGGGTGTTCTGATTAAATGCTGTAACACTGTCCTTCAGGTGGCTGAGGGAGTTTCTATTTTCTTTAGACATCATTAAGCACTGAAGCTCTTGCAGAACAACTTTGATGCTGTGTGAATTCTACCGTTTTGCTGGAAGTAACAAGGCTCTTAGGTCTACCACTCCATCAGAACTATTAACTCCATTCATATTAATCTCTGTTATGAACCTTACAAAGGGGGTGATTCTGGGTATTTAGGGCCACAGCCTATTCTAAGGCTGTGTATTCAGTTTCCATCAATGTTTCTCGGAGGCTCAATTACCATGCCCGTCCATCTTGTGTCATGTCTTCCTAATCTTCTAGACCCCAGCAAATGGTGCTATCTCCTACTCCTTTCTGGCCTGCTTCAAGTTCTTCCAACAGTTGGAAATTGCGAGGGACTGTTACTCCCGAGCCCATGGTGGCTGCCATCTTGCGTTGCCCCAGCTCGAAGTGCGGCCCTTTCTTCCCCACTCTTCTGCCCGGGCACACAAGATACATTTCATATATACACATATACATACATAGAGTGGAGTACAACTCCAATCCCTATTACAGTAAACCTAGACCCCAAATAAATATTTTAAGGCTTCCCTAGCTGTCTTTTATAAAAACCTGTCAATTTTTTGAAACTATCACTTCAGTAGGGCTATGGGTTTTCTAAAAGATGTCTAGCACAAAATGCATTTGAACATAACATGTAAAAGGCAAGCAGTAAGAAAGGTCACACGGCTGGAGATGAAATGTCCACGAGCTAAGAACAATGATCTGTGCAGAGTGGGATGGAGGAATGCAAAATGCACAGCTTCCTAAAGCTAAAGAAAATGACAAATGAATCGGGAAGATTGAAGTTAGCATTGCCTTCTCAGGACACAAACGTATACTTAGCTTAACAGGTATGTACCATCTCAGGAAAAATCTCCTATCTGTGCATCTAGGGCCCCGAAGGCTGTAGAAGATGGATCTGTAAAGCAAACACCACACAGGTGGATGGCCGTGGAAGAAGGGTGTGCAAGGTGTGCTCTGAGAACTAAGGCTCCTTCTGACTATCATCACAGGAGGCGGACACGGGCGCCGAGGGGCTCAGACACAGAGCAGAACCCGGGCAGAACACGGCTGTGGTGGAGCCTTACAAAGATGAGTGCACTGTCTGCTTATAACCATAATGTAGTTTACAGTGGGAGATCAGGAAAACAGAAAGATATGGAGAAAACAATTAAGACCACACACAAGTCCACGGCCCATAGAAAACCATTATCAAAATAGCGGCATATTCAGTTGCAGTCCTTTTTCTATGCACATCAGAATACAATACATAAATACGTACAGGGGTTACAGTACAAACAAAAATGTGTACGTGGCTTTTCCCTCATTTCCCGAGTACTTTCTCATGTTGTACGTTCTTCATGGATGTAATTTGAATGCCTGCAAATGTTGTATCTTATGAATTTAAGCAAAATTATTTGATTCTCTCCATATTGCTGAACTTCTAAGTTATTTCTAGTTTTATAATTTTATAAATAGCACTGTGATGACCTGACTGTCATATGTCTTATCTCTAGTTTCTTGGTAAAAGAAATCTCAAAGTGTGTCAGAACAGCACACTCACCTTTCAATCACTCAGAGTACCAGCACTCATGAACTCGTCATCGGAAGTCTCTGGGGCCAAAATTCAAATAAACAATACCATTCTCCTACTGCTCACAGTCTATATTTATAGTTCTAGAGCATCATCTTTCGGGCAGTACATCATTTCCTCTAGGCAAATGGACTCTTACTGGGTTAATCTAAATGCAGTAACATGAAACTTTGCTGACCCAGATTTCTCCAATAACAGTATGCATCCAATTACAATACTCTGCAGACTGAAAAATACCCAAGGATCTCAGAAACATATATTTTATCATCCTTTCATTTAGAATGATACACAATGGGCATAAAAAAAAAACATAAAAGTTATAGCCGAGGGAGGTTAAAAGCAACCAAATCTTGGGTACATGCACGAGTTACGGAGTGACTTAAGGTTTCCCCAAATTTCAGCTTTTTGCTATCAACACCTTGAGCGCTCTGCACATATGAAGTAATTAATGATCCCTGTTAAGAGTTGCATGGTCTTAACAGTCCACCCTTAAATTCTCTATAACCTATATTTTTATGCTATTTTTTTCAAGAGGCTAAGAAGGGTTCTTACAATCTCTAAAGTATGCCTATGTACATTTATTTAAGTGAAGGCATGTTTTTAAAATATATTTCCCACTCTCCAAAGAAAATGCAGAGTAAAACAAAACACAACAAAACATCCACCTGCTTCACTGGATAGATCAGCGATGAAATCATGCAGAGTACATGGCCTTACAAAAATCAGAAGAGAGACAAAGATAATCAGGTTATGCCAGACTGTAGCCGTGCAGACCGTATAGTGTACGGCCCCACAGGGACCTGAGCGACCGGTGCCCTCTGAAGGTATGCAGTGCACAGTCTACACAGCTGTACGTGATGGCCTGAAAGCTAGTTTGAGTACTGCTGGTTACTTATTTGTTCCTTACCTATGCATCTTTCTATCATGTGAGCTATGAAAAAGAAAAGTTTTTGGAGAGAGGAGGTCTTTAAATATGTATCTGTATATACAGATTTATGTGTATAAGTGTATAAAATACATATTCTGTGAATGCAGGACATTTTGGAAAGGAACAGTGCTCCTCCTGTGTCCCTGTGTCAGAACGATGAGGCTTTCTCAGCCCTTTCTCCTTCTCCCGCCCCCCGGAAGCCGCAGGGTACCTTGTGTGAGTAACTGCAGGTTTCTGACTTCCTCTCGCACCTTCAGCTGGAGCACCTGTTGCAAGACGTGTTGCCGCAGGTTCTCCTGGGCGATCCCCACACGCTCCAGCTTTTTGTCCGTGAGTCTCAGCAGGGCTCGCCCTGTAGAGGTTCAGAGATGAAAAGAAAAGGACATGAACGGTTTGCTAGACAGAAGGATCTCCATCCTGGTCCTGGTTCACCCTGCACAACAGAAGATTCCAACACAACCTCCTTAGAACAGAAGGCCCTGCACGCTCACTGCTGACACAGCGGGTGATCTGGCTGAAGAAAACCCACACGCGTTAAAGAAAAACCCCAATTTTTAGCTAATATTAGCAATCCTCAAATGATCCACACATCGAAGGAGATGAAACAGCAAGCTTTTGACCTGGATAGCTGAGCCACAGATTGCAGGTTTCCATAGAAACCATGGTTTTGGTTGGGGGCTGGGTTCTCAGGCCGGCCACAGGAGCACACGCATCACCAAAACCCCAGATGGAGAAGCAGATTCTCCAGCTGTGGTTAGATAGAAACTCCAGCAACTTTAGCCCAGTACTCAATCATGCTTCTGTGAAATTTGCATTTCAGTTCGGTTTTGATCTGCGGGCATCCGGGCCTCTGGTTGTACCTCAGGCTTTGGGCCGGTTACACATCCAGGTGCCGGTAGCCCTGCCATAATCCCGACCCCAGGCCACAGGTCGATGTCCCAGTCCCAGTAGGGCTGGCCTATAAGGAGCAAGGTGAGGGACAGCAAACGCAGAGCCTTGGGACGTGAGCACCTACAGTCTGTACACACCTGGGCTCCGAGCCCCCTGGCATGGCCTCCTGTTAGCCCCTTTCTTTCCTCTGAAAGTCTGCACGCTTCTCTTCTACCATGATTTCCAACAAACCCCCAGGGTCTCCCCCATTCGATGCTTTCTCTGAAATAAACAAACTTCAGCTGTGAGGATTTACTGCAAGAAATGAAAAGAACAAGGAGCGAAGATGTTACACATTCTTGGTTCCACATTCTATTCTTTCTTGACATTCACAGTCATCTCTGCTGCAGCTCTGGGATTGTCAATCACGATACACGGACTTGAAGGGATTAAGAAAACCCTCGATTAGTAAAGCACACTTCTGGGTGTGTCTGGATGCATGACACAGGCACGACCTCGGGTAATCTGGACCCCAGTCCTGTCATCCCTTGCACTGTTCCCACTTTGCCTCATGGCTGCCACGAACTGAGCACTTCTGCGGCCCCCTGCCCTCCTGCCATGATGTTCAATCATGGATTGACCTTCCTGAAACTGGGAGCTCCATTAAAGGTGTGGGCGTCAGGTATTGTGTCTCGGTGACAGAAGAGCTGACTAATACCAGATTTATACTCGTTTTTCTAAATGCAGAAGGGACAGAGTCAATTCCATGTGGCCAGTATGAAGGCTGTGAGTGTGTTATCAAACACATTCCAGAAACTACACGTTCTCCCACCTTGTAAAGGAATACTGATAACCAGAAGATGAAGCTAATGGGCTTTTCCATCAAAGAAAGAGGAAAGTCTATGTGGCCGAGGACACAGGGACAGGTGAGTGGAGAAAACCAGTTAGAGACCGTCCATGCTAGTTTACCCCTCTTTCTTTTCCTTTAGCATTTGCAAAGTGCACCATTCCGGAAGACTTTTGATATATAATACAGTGACAACAAAACCCCAAAGAGTGGCGACCATAACAGCTTCATGTCTAGTTTATTTGGAACGGCCAACTCTAAGCCCACCCACCTTGCACCACAGGGAGAAGAACAGGTGATAGAAGATTGCATCTCATCAATGAAATGCTGAGCCTAGAGTTATTCATTGGCCAAAACTAATCATGTAACCTCCCACCTACAAGAGAATCATGGATTGTACTTCTAACATGTGCCCGGGAGTGAGAACAGCGAATGGGAGACAGGCATATTGGATGGGAAACACTGCAGATAACTGTGTCCATACTGACATGGCCCCAGGCCAGTGTCCAGCAAGGAAGGGAGTTCAGGGATGTGTGCACATTGCTGTTGGTGGCACTGCTGTCCTGAACCTGCAGTGAGAGCTCCATCCCAAGGAGATTCCCAGCTCAGGCTTGGCACCCCTTGTCACCTCATGGTAGTTCTGAGAAAGGCAAGAAAGGACAAGGGCAAGAAGTTTCCCCTGCCTTCTGGGGCAGATGCAATAATGGCTCCCTATGGTGTCCACAGTCCAATCTCTAGAACCTCTGTATTTGTTACCATACATGACAAAAGGGGCTTTGCAAATGGGATTACCCAGGTGGGTCTCTCATCACACAAAAGAGGTTAACAGAGCCGGAGCGGGTGTGTGTGTGTGTGTGTGTGTGTGTGTGTGAGACTATACAAGCAGTGGGGAGTGGGAGGTGGCCACGAGCCAAGGACTACAGGCCACCTCTAGAGGCTGGAAAGGAGAAGAAAATGGTTTCTCTCCCAATCCCTCCAGGAACACAGCTCTCCCAGCTCCCCACTTTGAGCTCCATGGAACCCATTCTGGATTTCAGATGTCCACAAGCATAAGATAGTATTTTTGTATTATTTTAAGCTTCGAAATTTGTGATGATTTGCTATAGTAGCAAATGACTTTGTGACAGGAATTCACATGTTTTTAGGAAGTCACACAGATGACATTAGGTTTCATTTCCTTTCTCAGTTTCCGAGAAGTGGTCATAATCACAAGTGGAAAGCATAGGACAGCCAAGGAATGCGCCCGGGGTCCCAAGCCTGGCCTCACACGGTTCTGCCAACTGTCACGCTTGGTTCTGAAGTCTCACTTAGAAAACTGGGAATGGGCTCTTTTAATGTGTGTGTGTAACTTACCTCCAAATGACCAAAATCTAGCTCCTAAGACATTCCATAAACTTCAGATGGTTTGAATTCCTCCCAACACCAAAATGTAACTCAGTCTTTTTGCCCCTGGTCACAAGGGGTATGGTTTCCTAAAGTGTGATATTCCACAGTGAGGCGCTGAGGCTTGAGATAGGACTTCACAGCTCCGTGGCCCGTCCAGGACTAGAGGACAACTGAGAAACTCAGAGCGGATTTTGTTCCAGCACCCCCAGCCAAGCTTTGCTACTTTGCCCCCTGAAAACCTGTAGTCTCAGCTTCCCCATATATATGCCTGATGACACAGACAATACTGCAATTTCATTTCAGCTTTGTTGGCTAATTGTGTCAGGTTTGAATCCATGCATCATAAAACTATCAGTTATAGAAGTGTGTCTTATGACTTTGTGATACAATGTCTGTGAACTTTAAAAAAGTTAAATGTTCAGCTGTTCAAAATGATGTATCCAAATCCTGAGAATACAGATGTTACTGTTTTTATTTTCCTGTGTAAAAAGAGCAGTCAAGAAATTGAAGAATATTTGAAGCATGAGAACTTTTCCTAATTTTTATTGCTATGCCTTTAGCTCTACTTTAGCTTCCTTGGTAGAAAAATAGAGGGAAAGAAAGAAAAATCCAGGGTAGACTGCATAGGAGAACATCCTGGTAAAACAACAGGCAGGAAAGATCCTGCACCATGAGGACCTTAAGACCAAAATCGGATGCGCTGTCTTCTTTGGGTGATTTTTGCAGTGCCAACTAGACTGGTGGTTCTGAAATTTTATATAATACTGTAACTAAATCATTTCCAAGAGCAAAAGTCCCACCAATCTCCTATCTCACCCTTCTTGCTAACCAAAAATAAAAGAATGTCTCATCAAGGTAGTGCTGCTTTTGATGCAGGTATTAGGGAAAGATAAGAAAAGGATCAGATAAGTAGTCACTGACGAATCACATCTTTCTGTTCCCAATTTATAGGGTGAGTTTTTGTTACTTTTCATAAAAATTTAATTTTTTGTTCAACAAACACTAAGCATTAAGCCCTCACTGTGTCCTTGTCATCTGGGCACCCTGAAGAACAAGGCAGAGCCACTCCAGAAGCTTTCAGACTGACAAAGGAGGTGAATAGGACACATGTCCTCACGTGCATGATGAATGCTACCGAAGGGTTCTTCACATGTTCTGTAGCCTCCGGAGAGGTCCCTCACACAGAGAAGGACCCAGCAGTGAAAGAACAGCACCTACTGAGTTTTCCTGATTCCCCAAACTCCTTATGAATGGCAAGGAGGTAACACGGGGGTCACCAGGTTGCAAGAATCCCGAAGTCCTGACGTGAGCTTACTCCACCCCCTTTTCTTCCGTTGTTATCAAGTGCTTATGGAGCACCATTATAAGACTGCCACTGTCCTGTGTGCTTGGCTGAACTCAGATGAGTACAGGGGACCCTCAAGTTGTGACCAGCCTGAGATATGAACAACTTGGCTTAGAATCGGAATTTTAGTTTTAACTAACAAAGTCTTGACTTATGACCCAGTACCAACCACTTGTGATTCCAGATGGCCTCAGATACAGATCTAACCTTTAAAGAGTTCTGGAAGGAAGAGGGCAGCATCCTTCCCTGTGTAAGGATGAGAAATCCTGGGTCAGTGCCTTTCAAAGGACACCAAGATCTGCCTGTGTACAGGAGAGAGACTTTGAAGGCTGTGGAGAGGAGTCTGAGCCTCAGTTGAGCAACCTGAGTTACAACCAGCCCTTGAGAACGAATTGAGTTTGTAAGTCAAGGGTCCACGTAGTGGCTTCAGTCTTCAGACTTGCCATTTAGTCTTACCACTTCGTGTGAGGAGGGTGAGGTGCAAATAGTCCAAGAACTGAGCTAGATGTAGACATAGTGGCACAACACAGGTGTTAGGAAGTGTTCTGAAGACAAGCCAGAGGGTAGGAGGGATAAAAGGGACCCTTATGAGAAGGGCGGGTGCCACTGTAATTGGGAGATTAGGAAAGGCCTCTCTGAAGTAGAGATGCTGGAGCCAGAGAGAAAGATAAGGGCAAGTAAGTGTCAAGGCTATTAGCAGAATGGCCAGTGCTCCTGGCAAGCAGACAAAATAGGGAAATAGCAGGAAAGCAGGGCAGGTTACTTTCAGCCTTATCACCTGGGTGGACTGTGGATTTTATTCTCAGTGTGGACCCTGGACTCGGGCCTGCTCTCAGGTATGAAAAGAATCCCAGGTGCACCATGTGGGCAGTGGACTGGGGTAGAAAGGAAAGTACAGGAACAC